CAGGTCGAGGCTGCGGTGGCCGGGAGCGGCCACTGCACTCTAGTCTGGGTGACCGAGTGAAACTCCAACTCAAAAAAAAAAAAAACCAAAAAAACCCTAACAAATAGAACTGGGGAAGACCTTGAAGGAAGAATTCTTATGCACAAATGTCTGATAACAAGAATTATCACAGAGGACTCTGGGGAAAAAAAAAAAACCACCTTGCACAAAGGCCAATGCTACCTACACACAAAAAAACACTTCTGTGAGATCATCTGCCCAGCAACTGACTGTCCAAACTTGAATTGGTACCACCCTTTATATTGATCCTTGTAGCCAAAGACAAATAGCTCAAAAAAATTATGTTATTCTCCTCATTTTTTTCTTTGTCTTCCTTTACCTCCTGGAATATACATATAGCTTATCAAGGCACACATATTCCCATTGCAATGTTCATTCCAAATACCTTTTTTTTTTTAAGAGCCTCTCTCGGGCAACCCCCTCAAGTCTCCTCCTGCTCTACGAGGTTTTCTGTCCTCTCAATAAATCCTACTTTTAAAGAAAGCCTCTCTCTGCCTGTTGTTTAGGTTGACATTTCCTTCTTTCTTTTCTTTTTTGAGTTAAGTTCTCATTCTGTAACCCAGGCCGGAGTACAGTGGCACAATTATGGCACACTCAAGTCTGGAATTCCTGGACTCGAGTGATCTTCCACCTCAGCCTCCCACGTAGCTGGGATTACCAAGTAGCTACCATGTGCAGCTAATTTCTTAATATTTTATATTTCATTTTAAAATTACTATTTTTATTTTTGAGTCAAAGTCTCACTCTGTCACTCAGACTGGAGTGCAGTAGCATGCTCAAAGCTACTGCAGCCTCAACCTGCTGGGCTCAGGCAATACTCCCGCCTCAGCCTTCCAAGTAGTCGGAATCACAGGAGCACACCACTATGCCTGGATAATTTTTTAAATTTATTGTAGAGATGAGGTCTCTGCAAATTGCCCGAGCTTGAATCCCTGGGCTCAGGTAATCCTCTTGCCTCTGCACCCCAAAATGCTGATATTACAGGCATGAGCCACAGCACTTGGCAATTTTCTTTTTTCTTTTTTTTTTGAATTAGAGTCTCACTCTGTTGCCCAGGTGGAGGGCAGTGGCATGCTCACGGTTACTGCAGCCTCGGCCTGCTGGGCTCAGGTGATCCTTCTGCCTAAGTCTTCCAAGTAGCTGGAACTACAGGCACGTGCCATCACGCCTGGCTAATTTTTCTTGACTTATGGTAGAGATGAGGTCTTGCCAAGTTTCCCAGGCCGGTCTCAAACTCGTAGCCTCAGGCAGTGCCTCTTGCCTCGGCTTCCCAAAGTGCTGGCATTACAGGCATGCGCCACCATGCCCAGGCTTCATAGTATTTTTTCTTTTTTTTTTTTTGAGTTGGAGTCTCACTCTGTCACCTAGACTGGAGTGCAATGGCCACTCCTGGCCACTGCAGCCTCAACCTGCTGAGCTCTGGCGATCCTTCTGCCTCAGCCTTCCAAGTA